CCTGGGGGGCGCGGCCGAGCATGGGGGTGACAGGCTTTAGATAAATGCAGAGGTATGGTTTGGCAGGGGAGAAGGAGGATAATGGAGAGGAGTGAAAGATTTTATGGAAGAGGATGTGGTGCTTGGGGGGTGAGGGGGAGTAGAACTGCTGCCCGGAAATCGCGTGCGGCAGGATGCGTTATGAGGCTTGGCGAATGGCTCCTAGAGGGGTAAAAAAACTTCAGAGCTAGAATAAGAGCAGACCCATACAGGTAGGGGAGGGAATAGCGAGTGATAAAGTGGAAGTGAAAGAAGGACCAATTGAGTGGGGGGGTCAAGGAGGAAGTGAGCGTTGTCGACAACAGGGGAATACTGGGCAGGGGCCAGTATTGAAATAATGGGGGGTTATGAGTAGAGCGCGAGTAAGAATCGTGCCCGAAAAAAGCCGGTTCCAAAGGAGGCTCACGGGATAGGCGTGGGCGGGCGATGCGCTCCAAAGGGATCTGGGATCAGGCGAGGAAGAAGGGGAAAAGAAGGGTCTGGGAGGGTAAGTATGAGGCCGTTAGGAAGCAAAACTTAGTAATATAAGCACATGTTGGTCTGCTTTGGTGCGCGAGTAAAAGGAGAAGTAAGATAGAAAATGGGTCGATGCGTGCGGACTCGAAGAAAAGTGAATTATTGGCGACTTAGGCAGGATTAGAGCTTGCATGATGGGGTGTCTGGGACGGGAAGGTAGAAATCAAACTGTAGTGCCAAGTTTAGGAGATAAGGCGGCAGACGGTTTTTTAGGGCGTCGCTCCCAAGAATTCCCTAGTGGGGCTGGAACACAAGATGCGGGGCACGTCAGACAGGGGATATAATGGGGATTTTAGGATAGAATTAAGAAGTAGTGGCTAGAGGTGGGGCGGAAGAGTATAGGAGTAGTTGGGGAGGAGGGTGATGGGGGAGGGAGATGGGCAATTGAAGTAAGTTACTTTCAAAGGTAAGGACGAGGATGTGAGCATTTAAAGCGGGCCATGGGTGGAAAGGGGCGGGTGTGGGATTGGAAGAAGGAAGGGAAACTGTGAAAGAACGGGCGTGGTCAACTTAGCATGCGACGTAAAAAAGTAAGTGAACCGACAAAATTCGGTTGGGGCCGGGAAGGGGAGGGGAGAAGGTCGGGGATTCGGACTCGGCAACCAAAGTTTGCGAAACAGACGCAGACGTGAAGTAAGACGGGGGTGAGAGAGCGCGTCCATCGATGGGAAGGGTCACGACGGTAGAAGCTGAGCATGAGTAGGGGTTGGTTGCATGGCGGGGTAAATCTAAGGGAGTTCAGGGGTAAGGCCATTGTGAGAGGTCGTAGACGGAAATTCTGGGGGGACTGAGGCCCCCTGGCTGATTGGTTAATTCGCGACTTAATGAGATAGAAGGCTTGGATTGGTTGAGGTGTTTCTGTCGGAATACACTAGCTGGAGGGGGAAATGGCAGAGCGGAGATGCGAGGAGAGTATGGATGGGGGTTTCATCATCCGGGGAAGTTGTGATATGAGATTTACGGACTGAGCGACGTGGTGGGAACCGAACAGGTGGGATAGGGCACGGGGAAGCGGGAAAGCGAATGGAATGTCTTGACGAGGGCATCTGGGGCATTGGTTTTTATGTTCTGGCTTGGGTACCGCACGATTACGTCTCTGGTGGGCGGGTAAGGGGGGCGTATCGCATAAGCGGGGCAGGGGAGAGGGGGGGTAGAGAGTGCCGAATTGAAGCTAAGGAAATTGGCAAATAACGGGAAAGGAACTAGCAGAGCAAGGTAAGAGGTGGGAGAAAGGTGAAGCTGGGTGCATGCCATGGGGACGGGAGAGACTCAGCCACGTAGGCATTAATTTCGGAAAGACATTGCGGCTGGCAGGCCGCAGTAGCCGAGAACAGTACTAGTAGTGGGTGACACGGGGGTAGTGGCACCGAGGGGTCGGTCGAAAAGGTGAGAATTAGATAGCGGAAAGAGCGCGGAACAAGTGTTGGAGTGGCATGGGAATGAGAGTGGAAAATTATTGGGGGCAATATACACCATAATGAGAGCAGACTGTGGGTCAGGGATGCCAAGAGCGGCGCCCTCCCGGTTTCTAAACCACGGATGAGAGAACTGCTAGAGTTGGGGAGGTGTGTGGAATGGAGGAGGAAGTGGAGGGGGATGGGAGGGGACAACGAGAGTGAAGCCTGGTCGAGAGCAGGTGTGGAGTGGGGGCGCGTGAGATAGGGTGGGTTGGAGGGGTTGATTTGCCGAATAGGTAGGTTGAGCAAGAACAAGGTTAAGGCAGGCCGGATTTGGTCAGTTCTGAAGACGACATCGCGCGGCGGATGCTGGCAGGTTGTGTAGTGTAAAAGTGAAAGGGGTGAGTCAGGGGTTCTGGGAGTTAAGCAACTGCTTGCGTGAGGAAAGGGGAGACGCGCGACCGAAGAGTAGTCCCGCTCTGGCCCCAGTAAACTAAAGCCGATAGAGTGACTGTGAGATGGCAGATGACAGGAGCGGAGTTACTCGTCTAGTGGAGGTCGGATAAATTTGGAGTAGGAAGAGTTAGTCGGATCGGATCGCTATTAGGCGGGCAGAGACGGAGGAATCTGGGAGCAACGTGGGCCGAACATACATAAGGTAATATAGATATGAGAAGGCACTGGAGTGGCTTGGAGGATTGTGAGTGTGCGAGATGTGGCGATGTGAGGGAAAGAGGCAAGTAAAAGCTAGTGATGAAGGAGCTTGTGTCCATGGGGTCGACACAGGATAACGAAGTGCAAGTCCTATCGACAATCGGGAGGTTAGTCATGGTCGGGAATCGAGTCCACATCAATGACGAGGCCGACGACAGTGTACGGGATCGAGACGAGGTGAGGGGGGGTGAGGGGGGCCGACCAATGCTAGCCATTGGCATGAGGTATGTTGTCCTTACAACAGAAGAGGTTTGCTGTGTGGGGAGTGTAAGGAAGGCTATGGCCCTGCCGTGTATTCATTGGACCAGAAATGTGCCAATTGCTCAAGTCCCTGGTCAAAATACGTCATATCTCTGTATATTCTACTTCAGGTTCTTCCTACAACATTGATTTTTATATGTTTTGTTGTGCTTCGCCTCGACATTACTTCAGGCCCACTGCTGGCATATGTGATATTCTGTCAGTCAATAACAGCTAACATAGACTATCATTACATATACCTATACAATTACTTCCAGCATCATGTACATTCATCTCTTAGAGTATTGTTTGACTTGACAGTAACAGTGTCTCAGTTTTGGAATTTGCAGTTTTTCACGGGCATAATCCCACCATTTTGTATCAGTGAGAAACTAACAGGGCTCCATGTACATATGTTCAAGTTCCTACCAGCCATCTACCCGTTTATTTTTGTCGTCATCTCCTGTGTTATCATGGAGCTGCATGCAAGAAACTACAGGATTGTTAAAATTCTGTCGGAGCGATTAAAGACCATTCTCGGCAAAGCTAACATCACAGAAGTGACTGGTGATGCTGTGTTTCATGCTTTTGCATCATTCATTTTGCTTTCGAACATATCAGTGTTGTTTGCAGCAGGTGAGGTTCTGAACTATGCCTACATACACAATTCCACCGGGCACCTTCAAAAGGTCGCCTTTTACATTGACCCCAATGCAGAGGTGAAGAGTCTTACGTCCATCACATATATACTGCTGGCAGGAATATTTGTCACCTCTATCACACTAATTCCATCTTTCCTTCTCTGCATATACCCAACAAGGGTGTACCGATATCTGTCAAGGTTTCTGAGTGCCAGGAAGCGACTGGCCATCACAGCATTTGCTGAGGCTCTCCACAGCTGTTTCAAAGACGGTCTGAATGGAACTCGTGACTACAGAGCACTGGCTGGAGCTACACCATTCATTGTCGTGACTATATGCTGCACTACATAACCTTCCAAAACTCGGTCATGCCTCTGTAATAGTTGAAACAGTGATGTGGATGATGCTGGTATGTGTGGTGTCGTATGTGAAGCCCCTCAAGTCAGCAGTTGCAAACGTCTCACTAATTTTCCACTTGTCTCTGTTCGGAGTTCTACCTTGTATAATTTACCTGTGGGAGTATGAACTCACTGTGGAAACCTACTCACTTGAAGTGGCGTTAATCACTATTTTATTTACCCCACACGTTCTGGTGGCTCTGTGGGCCGGCTATACCTTGACCAAACACATACAGACAAGGTTAAGATGTAAGTTCCGTGGCCCAGGTTGCAAGGTGGCATTGAGGTACATGGCTAACGGTGTGAGACTTTGCCTCCGCTGCAAAAGTCACACTGGCTACCAAGAGATGCTTCCACAATGACACACTCATCCATTAGCTCATAAGCCAGTTAATAGTAACATACTCTTTTATTATCTATATCTATGGCTAGTATACTATAAACATACTTTTCATACATAATTTTTGGTATTTTTGCAAATGAACGTTCTTACTCACAATTTTCATTATATTTGTACATTTCATGTACTTCTTCAGTGACATAACTCTTAAACTGCACGTCCATTCAAGATCTATGGCTCAAAAGCCTTTAAGGCTGGTCTCCATAATCTTCTTCCTCTGTCTTATTCAGTCTTGTGCGGTCTGGACATACTAATGTACGGAAACACACTGACTGAAATTGCAAGACCATTACGACCATGCAAGTCTGGGTCTTGGAAAAAGAAATATAGTTTATTCCCCAGACCGGTGCAGACCGCACAAGACCAGAGTAAGGCTATAATATGGAGACAAGCCTTAAACGAGGCCTGTGGATATGTACAGGTACCTTCCGTTAGGTGTGGAAAAACCACTAAGACTGGAAAAAGACAGACTAACTGACAAATACACACACAAACAAAACAACAGTACAGCGAAACCTATGAAAAAAGACACCTCTCCTTATAAGGGACATTTGGTTCTGTCTCGTACTAACACATTAGTGTACTGTATCTCCAAATAAAGACGGCTCTAAAAGACGTCTCTCAACGTCCCCAAGCTTGCTGCCGTAAGGACTGACAGAGCAACGATGCAAAGAAGAAGGTCCAGAAAAAGTACAAGAGAGGAATGTGACAGACACAACACTAGAACATTCAACTAGACATGAACCAAAGAACAAAGATGAATTCCAGATGAATTATTACCTGCAAATCTTAGTGGTTTGTAAATTTCGTAACAATCTGAGTGTTTAGCTACCAGCAAGAAGTTTTCCACTAATTTGGGTACTTTTTTGTATGAGAGGACGGTAGGTCTGTTTATTTGTACCACAACTATGCATCTGGTTATAACGAGCCCACCTAGTCACTTCTTCCATCCTATTATCACATATTACGTATGAGTTACTTTTTATACCTCAGCAAGATATTCAAGTGTGCATGCAAGAGCTGTCCTAGGTGTAGTTGATTTGTTTGTTGTGCCTTTGCCTTTCTACCTCGTAGTTTTCACATGCGTTCATACACCGCACTTCTTTTTATACGGAATATTTCCCCAAGTGTATACAAGCCTCTTAACCTTAATTAAACCACCACTAGCTGAGGGCACAACAACAACAGTAACAGGACTTCTGAAAACTGATCAATGAAAAGCACTAAAGTGCAAACCCTCGGCGAACTGCGCTTGCGCGATACCGCTAATTGATGGGCTGGGCCGTAGTATGCGTTTACTCGCGGTCTCCCGCTAGTAGCACGTGGAGAGTCTGACACGGGCTAGCTACAGTAGTAGATAGCATGCGGGAGTCGATACAGGCCCTTCGTTGTGACGTCTTGTGCCTCCAAGGTACGCAGAGCAAGCACATCTTGTCGAGGTAAGCCCGTGCTAATTTGCATAATGGCTCGTTCACTTGGTTTTCACGCCATAATTTTTGAATGCAGCACTTTTACGAAAATTGCCAGTTTTAAAATCACAAGCAAATGTAGCACCGAACCCGTTGGCGTAGACTTTCGGTGATCTTGTTGCGCCTAGTGGCAAAAAACGTGAACGAAACACAGACATACCGACATACCGACCAAGTACTGTAACCCTCTAGCGCATGCGTGCCGAGGGTTAACAATGGCATTATGGAAGGTAGATGCTTATTTTGACCATACGGATCAGACTGCTATGTCAGAAACGGGATATGGGCAAAACTGAGAGTGAAGCTGGATTGCACAAATGTTATGTGGATACCCTGGATCATTCCCAAGAAATATCTTACTTACATACCTAAGTTCCTTGTATGAGAGGACGGGTGGCTTGTTGAGATGTTTCATCTGAATGGCCAGGTTCCGTATGGTGTCCTCCAGCTGAAGGTATGAGGCCGGTACCAGCTGGTCCATTAACAACCGGTAGTCAGGGATACGACCACACCCTATGCCACGCCCGGCAACTGAGAGAGAGGGTGGTCATGTGACAGTCATATGACCACAGAGGCCACACCCACCTGTGTTCTCCTTGACTTGACTGGCGACATCGAAGAGGGCATCACGTAGCTCATTGATGCCCCGCCCACTTTTACAGCTGACAATCATGCTCCTCATAATCTGGGGAAATCCCTCTCGTTGTCTGTCTGCAGTACCATACACTCGTGCTGCAGGGGATAAAAGCAGTATCTATAGCAACGGTAGTTCTAATAAAGCCTGGTTCACAATATGACGCTAGATTTCATTTCATTTCGTCACTGATGTTCCTCAACGCGCTGCACTGTTCGCAAATTTACAATACAATGGCAGCTGACGAAACAAAACGAAAGTATAGCGTAATGTGTGAACCAGGCTTAACCTACATATCGAGCAGAGTCCGGAGTACAATACATTAGTACACAAACACTTATATATACTAATGTACATCGATGTTTGGTGAAAATTGAAGCTAACTAGACCTTTTGGTTCCCCTTCCACCCAATTCTCTCTCACACAATCTTTTTAACACTAAAGTGCAAACAATGAAGGAACAAAAACTATGAACACCATATTATGCACCACTAATGGATCAGTACCACACACCTTTCCTCCCAACTATAAGGTTTGAGAATATTATTATCGTGGAAACAGTTTGTTCTTCCACAATATAAAATGCCCCCACTGAGTAAAAGGTAGGTTTATGCAATAAATATTCCCCTCTCTCCCTCCCTCCCCCTCCCTTCCCTGCCTCCCTCCCCGCTCTCTTCCCTGCCTCCCTCCCTCCCTCCCTCCCTCTCTTCCCTCCCTACCTCCCTTCCCTCCCTCCCTCCCTTCCCTCCCTCCCTCCCTCTCTTCCCTCCCTCCCTCCCTTCCCTCCCTCTCTTCCCTCCCTCCCTCCCTTCCCTCCCTCCATTACCAATGTAGTCCTGACATTCCCGACATTCCTCCTTTGCCTGACGGAAACTCAGCTTGTCATAATGAGTGGCGACAATGATCACTGGGGAGTTTGGCGCACGTGCCTGGACAGAGAGGGTTAAAACAAATACTCATGAACCTCCTGTGGACAAAGGGTTAAGGAAGGAGAGCACATACCCCACGCAGTATCATTCTAGCGCATGCGCACACATTGATTGGTGGGTGTGCCCAAATGACCCAACTTCTGGATTTCTAGCCGTTGTGGCCAGTGATGTTGATTCCAAGCTCAGAGACGCCGAGGGTTTGCACTTCAGTGCTTTTCATGATAGTTTAGTAACTCACTCAGGCACCTTTATCTTGAGACCTGGCAATTTTAGTGCAGACAACAACGACGGACAGACTACAGACCGATTACTTAACCTTTTGCACGCATGCGTGCGCGGGGTAATGAGATGAGGATTGAAGAGCGATGAACGGAGGGAGGTAGAGATGGGGAGGTAGAGATGGGGAGGGGGAGGTAGAGTTGGGGAGGAGGAGGGAAGGCAAGGGAGAGACGGTGTGAGAGGAGGAAGAGAGAGACGGTGTGAGAGGAGGAAGAGAGAGACGGTGTGAGAGGAGGAAGAGAGAGGAACAGGAAGGGAGGGAGAATAAACCTGAATGTTGAGCAGCCATGGTCGAAGTTCCTCGGCGCCAGCCATGCCGTGAGTGACGTTCCAGACGACCAGGTAGAGAGATCTCCGTGAGATGAAACACTGGTGGGTGGCGTAGTACTCCTCCTGGCCCCCAAAGTCCCAGGTCATGAAGGTGATGCTGCGGAGGTTGGTCTGGCTCTCGCGCACTCTCTTGTAGTAGGTCCAGTCGCTGACCACAATACCCACCGTGGAGAGGTTCCCCTTCAGCCTCTCTGCCCCCACCATCCTGGATAGGAGAAGGAATGTAGGGACTAGTTGCATGCTTTAAGGTTGGTTAAAAGTATAAGTATCTAAAAAAAACTTGTGTTGTTGAGCATGTGTGAGAAATACAGGTGCATAGGCAAGGCTATAGCACACGTGTAACATAGCTTACTACAGACACTTTTACTGTGAAAGTGATCCAGGCTGGCTAGAATGCTAATGTTATACTAAGACCCAACTCTACCAATGTGGACTTGTAAGAGGATCCCACTGTCCCAATAGTGGTGGCCAGATTTTGGTAGGCGGGGCTCGTACTAGAAGAGCAGTACTGATACTACGGATATGACGTCTATAGGACTAGATTTCACTTCGAATGTTACCAGACGCTCCTCCACCTTGTGGGTGGAGTGGCTGGGTACGAGACTAACAATAATATGTAGGATCCACTGTCCTATTGGTACAGTAGGACCCACTCCCCTAATGGTACAATAGGATCCACTCCCCTAATGGTACAATAGGATCCACTCCCCTAATGGTACAGTAGGACTCACTCCCCTAAGCTAAGGAAGTGGTCTGTGTTGAAATCGTACCTGATGAGGGCCCAGTTATCCTGGAGACCTCTCTGGCCTTTCTCCGAGATCCTGCTGAGAAGAGTGGTCTTCCCTCGGGCTGCCTTCCCCACCAACATCAGCTTCATCCTGTGGTACGGCCTCGCTCTGCATTTACCAACACATATACAATAGGAATCATTTCAGCTCATTGTCTCGCTCAGTATACAACACACACATACGACAATGAGGAAGTAAATCATCCGTTACAGCTGGAACTGTAGAAAGAAAAACTTTAACGCTTTGACAGCAAACGAAAACTTTTACTATGCAACGCTCACTGCCCCGCTCTGCACCAAAATAACACAGCACAACACATACGTAACTAGGAATTTGTAAAAGGGGGAATAAAGGGGTGGTGTATAAAAAGGAAGGGAGACAAGAAGGGGATGTGATGTATGAAGCAAACATTAATGAGAGCACATTGATACCCCCCCTCCCCGACCACATTACACAAGCCATCATTACGAGGAGGAGGTACCACATTAGCTGCAACTTCAGAACGAAAAACTTTCATTACAAACTTTCGCGGATAAAACGAGTCTTACTTCGAAAGTGCAAAATTTCGCCCTTGGAAAGTCTCTTGCAAAATTCTGGTTGTGTGGCATATTGTATGAGGTCCTGGTATACACCGCCAGAAGGCTAGTTACCAAAATTGGAGTTAATAATCCCCATACCTTACTATACCAACACACTATAGTTGTGGGTGGACACCACTTGTAAACACTGATCGAGGTTTACAAGACTAGAAGACCAACCCACCACTACACATAAGTGTATAATAGAGACCAGCTGAATTAACCAAAAATAGCGGGAATCGTTTGAGTGGAGAAAACGCGGTGATATTGCAGCAAACAGGGAATTTTACAGATAGTCTTACAAAAAGTATTACACTAGCTAACTAAAAACTGTAGCTACAAAAACCTTTACATACAGTGCTGACTTCTGAATCAGAGGGGCCAAAAGTGATTCCTATACAAACGTCTATAGAGGAGCTAAAACTATCTCAACAAACATCCATAGAGTGCTAAATTCTGAAGGAGAGAGTAACTCAAACATACCTCTGCAGAAGGGACCAGAGGAACCCGATGATGTCCCTGGTCTTGCCTCTCTCGATAATGTTGTGGGGAGGAGAGATGAGCTTCAGTCCGTCCAGAGGAAACTCCCACAGGTTGGACAGCCTCCCTAGCCGCGGGGGTAACTCGATGATGTCGTTATGACTCAGGTCCAGACTGTTGAGTGACACCATATCACACACGCTGTCCGGGACACAACTCAACAGGTTGTGCGACAGGAGAAGTCGCGTTAGTAGAGGACACACTAGACCTTCGGGGTTTTGGACTTTGACCCCCGACGAGGACCCCTGCTGGGCGGAGTCGTCCGCGTCTTTGCGTCGACGGGTGTCGGCGGCAACTCGGAGGTTCACCTCTCGTAGCTGGCAGTTGGTCATCTCCATGTTGCTAAGTCGGGTGAGCTGGTAGTGCTGGCGATGTGAGCAGAACGATACGTTATCGCGATATATGGTGGGGTTGTCGGCCAGAAATGGAGGGTTAGTACAGGGGAGTGGTTTGGGGGAGAAAGAGGTGCAGTTGAGTGTCTCCAGGAGGTTGTAGGACAGGGAGACGTGTTTCAGGTTGGGCGGGAGCTGGTACGGGAACGAGACGAAACGGATCTGGTTGTGGGAAAGGTCGAGACGGATCAGTTTCGGACAGAGGCAGGGGAAATTCTCGGGAATCTCTCGGATGAGGTTGTTGGAGAGATTGAGCATCCCGAGCCCCTCGTACACCTCCTCCCGTCCCTCCCCACTGCCCCACTCTATGGGAAGAGTACTGTTGCTGATATTGAGGCAGTCTTGGAGTCTAGTGATGGGCTGAACCTCCGAGTCACTCTCCATGGCCGACTGTCGCTGTCCTTTCGGGCCGCTCCGTACAACCCTCCTCTTCCCTCCTTTCCCTCTCTTACCCCTCTCCCGCCCCTCACCCTGCTCCTCTGGAGTAAGCTCAGGCTCTACAACGCGGTGAGTACTCAGTACTCCGGGCCAGTTCGTGGGTAAATACTCCAGTTTGTTGAACGAACCTACCATCTGGTAGAGTTTTGGCGCACTCCAGAGGTCAAAGGGCAGGGAGACCAGCTGGTTGTGGCTAACGTCAAGGTGACTGAGACTGGGGATCTTGAACAGGAAATGCGGCAGCTCCGTGAGCTGGTTTTTGGAGAGGTTGATTCTCGCCAGGCTCCGACATGACCACTCGTACGTGTCTCTCTCAGAGTTGTACATCTGTTGGAGATCGGGGAGACCGGTGATGTTATTAGAGGAGGCGTTCAGAACCTGGAGCCCGCCGAGCTGGAAGAGGCCAGGTGGAAGCCAGGTTAGCGAGTTACCACTCAGATTGATTGTGGTGAGGTGCTGACTCAAAGCCCCCGACTCTATCTTCTGCATCTTGAGGAATTTTGAGCAGCGGATTGCGTGACCCACCCAGGCGGGGTCGATTTCAGCCATCTGCAGGTTGGCCCATTCGGCGACTCCAGTCTTGACCTTCCTCCCAGCTTGTTTGTTGAGTTTGACCCCGTCGTCTAGTCTAATCAGGCTACCCAGGAGAGGGATGATGAATCGACGATGCTCGGCCGACGGGATGCAGATTTTGATAGCGCTGTGAGCTCTGTCCTCCCCGCCATAGTCGATGAGGGTCTGCAGCAGCCCCAGGTTCTTGTTGATGACTGCCTCACTCAGAATGGAGCGGGAAATGTGGGTGAGTTCTCCCGTCGTGGTAGGCGAGAGCGAGGCGTTGGGGTTAGCCCCCGACTTGAGTAGGACGCGGGCGCATTCCGTGTGGTTGAGGAAGACGGCGAGGTGGAGCGCTGTGTAGCCACATTTGGCCGCCTCGCAGCTCAGTTTGAGTCTGCGGTGGTGCCGTACGAGGACCTTCATGATGTCAGTGTTGTTGAGGGCCACGGCGAGATGGAGGACTGTGTGGCCCGACATGGTGGGCTCTCCAAACCTGTCGAGTTGGTACAGTTGGAAAGATTTCTTTCATTAAATACAAAATCCCCCATTCTACCACCTTCACAATCACATGGACGTTTACTCAGACTTTTAAAACAATTTTCTCTGTTGTTTTCTACAGTTTCAGTGAAAATCTACATGATTGTGATGGTGGTATATACAGTGTAAACAAAACGTATTTTCACAACATTCTCTTTGCTTGCACATTCACCATACACACATAATGCTGGACTGCCACGGTAGCTCTTGCAGTGGTAGAGAACTCGTCTAAACAGAGTGTCGTGGGTTCAAGTCCCACTTATTTACATAGGGGCAGCTTTTTTTGTTTTGAAAAAGTCTTGTCCTAGGTGGAGTTAAATTGTTCATATTTGCCTTACGTTTAGACCACGCTTTATGTTTTCTTTTGGTAAAATATCGTTGTCGGAATTAAAGGAACAGAAAGAAAGTTTGCCCCAATGAAGAGAAAAGGGACGAAATATCTAATCTCCGAACCTGGCCTGCTGGAGGTGGAGACTGGTACTGAAGGAAGCATCTCTGTCGCTACTGGCTGCAGCGTCAGTCCCTCGCTGGGTCTGGGGGGAGGAGGAGGACTGCGAAGAGACAAGTATCTTGATTATCTCCAGATGCTGATGGACGACCGCCACGTGTAGAGGGTTGTACGCTTCGTTGGTGATGCTGAATAGAATCTCCGGCATCTTGGCGACCAGGAGTTGAGTGAGTTCGGTGCGGCCGTAGCGACAGGCGGCGTGCAGGAGACTGGCTCCGTGGAGAGAGATGGGGATGTCTTTGCAGATTCGACCGAGTACTCGAACAACGTCTCTGTTGTTGATGACGATGCAGTGACTGTGAGGGAGGAGAGGGGGGAGAGAGGAGGGGGGGAGAGAGGAGGGAGAGGAGGAGAGGAGAGAGGGAGAGAGGAGGAGAGAGAGGAGGGGGAGGAGGAGAGGAGAGAGAGGAGGAGGGAGAGGAGGAGGGTGAGGGAGAGAGGAGGGAGAGAGGAGGGAGAGAGAGGGAGAGGGAGAGGGAGAGAGGAGGGAGGGAGGAGGGAGAGGGAGAGAGGAGGGAGGGAGGGAGGGAGGGAGAGAGAGAGAGAGAGGAGAGGGAGGAGAAGAGGGAGGGAGGGGGAGCAACTCATGAAAGTATTGTTCAACTCTGTTCAACATTCTACAAGTGAGGACAGACGATACAGTCCCAGCCATGGGGTGTCTGGGGATCAATAGTGTGTCACTGGGGGAAAGGAGGTGGAGCAAGTTTGGGACACCGGCCACCCAGTGTTTCAGGTTTCAGTCACTGCTGTACGTCCTGAATGATGCCAAATTCTGTCTATGCTGCTAAATGTAGTGTATTCCCATTAGTGTGCTCTCAAACACACTTAATCGCAGTTATAGCTTTCAGTTTACACTAAGGGCCACCACCACTAGCGATAAGACTAGGAACATGTCTTTATACAGTGAGAGGCACAATGTGAGCATTCCTTCTGATGATTATGACGGTGTAAGTACTAGTGCGGATGGCAAAGTGCATAACTTTGAAACATTTGTCATGCCAACAGTAGTGAGGTACATACATAGCCTGGCCCGTGAAAAGATGAAAATCCATCAAAATGAGGTAGTAAATGTAGTAGTTTCAATGCCCAAGATTCCGCAATACATTTACAGTGCTATATACACTAAAGCTAAAACCATTACATCATTAGGGACAACACGTGAAGCTCACACACATTCCCCATCCCTACTACACTGACTATATATGAACAACAGTGGAGAGTGGCAGGTTGTGATTACACCGAGGGCTAAGGACATGTCACAAAAAGGTTTCGCAATGCAAGCATATTATTCACTGACATTTGTGCATAGTTTGAACACATCAAGAAGGCATTATGAACCTCGCAACACAGTATGCATAAGGTTCCATTTCTACTTGATATGTACAGGTGTTTTGAAACTGGTGTGGACATGTTTCATCAACGAGGTCAAGGCAAACGCAAACAACACAACCTAGGACAACCCCTTCTTCCATGGAAAAAAACTTTCCTAGGTGGGATTTGAACCCACAACACCCTGCACTCCAGACAAGGGCTCCACATACAATGCCAGGGATGCAATAAGCAGCTATGTCCAGGTTCGCCTCATGTGCATAAACCTCCCTTATATGCACGTGCGGTGCTTTGCCTTTGCCTTACACCATGTGTCTTGTGTCCATAAAGGTTTGGGGAGGGAAACTTGGTTCATCCTCCCTCTTTGAAGGGAATGTGGCAGTATAAACACAAGTGATAAATGTCACTAAAGATGTAACAAACAATAGGCCTCAGTGCAAGAATGCAATTAAGTTTGGTAACATTTTCTAAATTTAGCCCTTATACTGCCACATTCCAATCTAGTTTTCACCTCACCTCAAAAAAGCATGACTGTGTTATTCCTTCCCCTTAAACATTATAGGCATGCGATAAGGGACACCAGTGATGGGGCCAACGATTTTGTCCTTTGTAGAGAGATCGTCCCTATCTCGGAGGTCAATATATAGCATGAGGTTGAAACAAGTGTCCTTTGTAGAGAGGTCGTCCCTATCTCAGAGGGTCCCTTATCGGAGGTTATATTTTTCTAGCCCATGTACCGCTAAAGCTGTTGGTATTGCTCATAAGCCGCCTCGTAGCCTGTAGTGCGAGAATAGTCATAGACAGACAGACAGACAGACACACAGAATGACTACAGTAACCCTCGCTGCGCATGTGCGCCGAGGGTTAACAACACACAATGCACGATGGGTTCAAAACAAACAAAACAACATATGATGGGCACAAACAGATCACTCACGACTATACTGAGGAGTAATGGATGTGTAAACCAACAACCAACAGTTATTCTGAATTACAAAAACTACGATTTTGAGAAGATTTACACAAAATTCAACAATCACTGGAATGCCGCAGTAGAGCAGATTGTAGTGTAACCACAGTATTTTGTAATTATGTCGAGGAATTTCCATTAAATCCACAGAAGAGCAGTCTATCAAAAACGCTACATTCGACAATCACTCGAAAATATTGATCACAGAGCACCCTACAGTGGAACCTCTGTATGGGGCCAATGATTTTGTCCCTTGTAGAGAGGTCGTCCCTGTCTCAGAGGGTCCCTCAATACACTAAAGTATTAGCATGAGGTTGAAACAAGTGTCCTTTGTAGAGAGGTCGTCCCTATCTCAGAGGGTCCCTCAATACACTGTATATATACCTCTAAGATACGTACCGATACATGATACTCTCCAGCTGGGAGGGGTCTCTGGTGTTGAGGGAGAGAGGGAAGAGGTCGTTGAGCTGCTTCCAGTGGTTCAGAGTCTGGGCATTGTCTACGGCCAGGTTCAGTTCCACCTCTGGACAACACACACACAGACACAACACAAGCCGAGGCTGGCATAATATTGCGTAACTGTGTCGACCATTCTTTCTTTATGTGTATACATATTCATCACCATTCTTTCAGTCTACCAGCGTGACATTGGGAGCGAGCACTGCGGATTAACCTTATTAAGAAAGCTATTATATCTGTGCAAGCATACGAACCTATAACTCAAACACATGGACACCACGAGCTATTAATGCATGAGGTTTGATGCAATGTGTTGTGTATATATGTAGTGTTATGTTAGCAGACAGTGTGGTGCGAGGGGATCAATAGATCAGAGAAAGACAGACAGACAGACAGACAAACTTACGGATTAACACATCTTCTACTCCTGTACGTTCCTCTGCTTGTCGCTGAGCTGGAGCAGGGGGAGGAGGAGGAGGAGGAGGAGGAGGAGGAGGAGGAGCAGGGAGAGGGGGGAGGGGGAGGGTACATATTTGGGAAATGTGGTTTGACCCAATAACTTTGCTTGCAATGGCCACAAGTTCTTTCATTATACAGAGTTTGTGTCATGTTTTTTCAACGCTGCCTATGATTAATTTCAGTGGGTGTGACAAAATATTTATAGCTGGGGACGGGATGGTTTTCTCTATTTGCTATTGAGCCCCCTCTTGAATATATCCATCGACCCACCAATGACTTCATTGAGGTAGTTGAAACAAAGGTCTTGTCCGTTGATCTGGGCATAGTCGACGGGAGTGAGGTGACATCGGTCCTGGAGCATTATGTCACCTCCCAACTGGACCAGGAGCTGGAGACAGGCCAAGTGGCCATGTCTAGCAGCAAGGTGCAGTGGAGTGACTTCACTTGTAGTCAGGGTGGAGCGAATGTTGGGGTTTGCTGTGGAAGGAGAGGAGGGAGTGGGGAGGGGGAGGATAGGGAGGAGAGGGAGGGAGAGAGAGGGGGAGGAGGGAGAGAGAGGAGGGAGAGAGAGAGAGAGAGTTGAGAGGGAGGAGGGAGAGAGAGGAGGGAGAGAGAGAGAGAGAGAGAGAGAGTTGAGAGGGAGGGAGGGAGGAGAGAGAGAGGATTGAGAGGAAGGAGAGGGAGGGGGAGAGAGAGGATTGAGAGGAAGGAGAGGGAGGGAGGGAGGGGGAGAAGGAGAGGGAATAAGAAACATTAGCTGGTGAAGGTCCGTGCACACGCGTATCTGTTTACACGAGTTTGCTGGCTTCACTGACCATCCTTGATGAGGAGACACTTGAGGGATTCCGGCTGGTTCCTCTCGGCAGCGAGGTGCAGCGGCGTGAATCCGCGCTCGTCCGTCCTCGTCAGTACCTTGTGTAGTCTCTCTGGGCTCAGGCCGTTCAGGACGTCCAGGAGCCGTGTCGTGTTGTCCACTAGTGACGCATCCATCACCGGGTCCACGATGCTGGACAGGAGCCTGCCCAGCGAGCTACTCATCTTCAGTAGGTCTTTCCTCAAGTCTAGCTCTGCATGCTGTAGCTAGCGTCTCCGCTAGGACCCGCCCCGCTCATGAGTGCCGCATGACACTCCCACCCCGGCCCCCCGCGCAATATTACGCACTCGCGCGGAAATTTGGGGGCCGACGACACAGCGGGACGGGAGCTGGGCGAAAATCCGTCGGTTTGGGACGATAGGCGATGGAAACATCTTGTTGAATATCCCAAGGAGAGTACTATTAGTTACGACAACGGTAAAAGGCATGCATCGTCTCCTGGTGTGCCTGCTTTTGGCAGGGAGTGCGCCGTTTTGGGGGCGTTTCCAGCACAGGTTTACGGCGTCCGCAGCCAGCAAGACGGAGAAACAGGTAGCACTCACCATCACAGTCACAGGTCAAGGAGACATCGTGTTCAGAGATGGCGACAACCCGTGCAAAGTCCTCAAGAAATACTGCAAGACCGTGGACGGGGGAGCAGTGAGCAAAGAAGACTGTTTCGCCCAGCTCCACCCCCTAGTCGTGAAACAAGTGTCTGGGCTCTGGGAACGGCTCCGAGGGAAGCTAAAGGTGGACGCCGGCTTCTTCATGGACTGCGAGCCTTTCAGGTTCCGCGCATCCGACTACGCGGAGGACGTTCGCGTGTCGCACTCCGCAGTCGAGGCCGCTACGACTCGAAACAGCAGTGGAATCATTCAAGAAATGCTGCTACTGCTGGAGAGAGCCATGCAGAGGGACAGGGAGGCACTCCAGACTTTCAACATCAAGAGAAACCAGCTGAAGCTGACGGACGCCGAGAAGGTGGACCTCTACCGACAGGCCATCCTTCTCCTCCCAAACAACTTGTTCATCGTGGATCAGTTGGGACTGGCCCTGCTCTTCTTGGACAGAGAGGACCTGGCCAGGAGACTGTGGGCCAATGCAGTAACCAGAGGTCTTTGGGCACACCCTCTACAGCGACCTGTATCCCGCTTTGTTCCCGGGCTCACTTCGAAACCTTGGCACGATAAGAGAGACTATCCCTTTATCACTCTTCTGGAGGCTGGGTACCTCGACATAAAGAACGAGCTACTACACAACCTGAAACACAGACGGCACCTTTTTACAGAGGAGCAAGAGAATCTCCATGTGGGAGGAGACTGGACTGAGCTGAGGATTCGATCCTCTGGCTACGGGTTCACCAAACACACCCAATACTTTCCCGAGACCATGAGACACATTCGCAACTGCGGACAGGATTTTACCAGCATAAAGTTCTCAGCCATCCAGCCAGGGACACACATCCGGACCCACACGGGTCCGTCCAATGAGAGACTGAGGGTCCACCTGACTCTACTCCACAGTGGAGGAGCAAAGATTAGAGTTGGAACAGATTGGCATACCTGGACACAAGGGGAGGCCATAATATTTGACGACTCCTGGGAACACGAAGTCATTCACACTGGGTCTGATATGAGAGTGGTCCTCATCATGGACATCTGGCACCCCGAGCTACCAGAGTCTCAGCGAATCGTCCACTGACTGAGAGATTGCTAGCAAGCTGTGCTCGTATTTTACCGGTAACGGAGTGCGCAGGCGCAGAAAGTTCTGGATAATTCGCGTAACATCGCACTTCCGCAAAGTGACAAAAATAGTAACATTGCTGAGCGTATACACTGACCGCAGATCGACTGCAGCACTATAAAGCTGGTCGAAGGGAAAACTGAGCTCAATTGCACAATTTCACGATGGCGAATTCTGATGCGGTAGACCTTATGAGCCTTGGCCGGCACTGCTCCATCAAGTGGTGTAACAGACTCGACTTCCTCCCGTTCAAGTGCACAAAATGTCAAGAAATCTTCTGGTAAGCAGTAGCTAGCTACGCACAGTGTTACAGCGGGAAGTGGAAGAATGTATTTTCATTGATCCGCAGCTTGGATCATCGTCAGGAGAGAGACCATAACTGCCGGAACTCAGAGATTGGAAATGTTAGTGTGTAAAACAGCAGCTTACACCCTAGAATAGCTATTCGACTAACTCAGCTATGATATGAACTGTGGCAATGTTTTTTCACAGTCCACAGTCCCAGTGTGCCCTCTGTGTGGCCAGGCAGTGAGTGTGTCCAGAAGCCGAGGAGAGGATGTGGACACTCAGGTCGAGAGACACATCTCCAGTGGCTGCAGACACCACGTGCTCCAGAGGCCTCCACCCAGGCCCTCATCCTCCTGTACCCAGAGAGGCTGCAAGAGGAGGGATCTGGTCCCCTACACCTGTCCTCAGTGTGAGAGGACTGTCTGCATCAGACACAGACAGCCCATGGACCATCCCTGCCACCCTCCAGTCATTCCTGTTCACTGACACGTGTGTGTGTGTGCATAGCTTATTCTTTGTATATATACAGGCTTTTACCATCATAGGAGCTTGGTCATAGTTTCAATTTTTTAACACAATGAATGTATAAGTATAGAAGGTTTCATACTTGGCAGGGAGAATAACTTCTGTTAACCAAATTCATGTGTTATGTTTCAACCCTTAATGCGTAACTGCAGATCATCCATGTTATTGGGCGAGCTAACCTGAACAGCGCGATTCAGGACCAAAAGCGCATGCGTTCGGATTACGCGCTCCAAATGACGCTGGCACATCGATCCTCCTCTAGCCAGGGAAAGAACTCCTGTCCATTCAACGGCATTCGCTGCACTCTTCGGTGCCTGACCGAGGCTGTACCTCTTTCCAATCTTCGTGTTTCCAAGGTGCAGGTTGTAAATAGGCTAGGATGGCTCGTGCACAGTCATTGCGTGCTCGCTCCCGCTCGCCATGCATTCACCTACTAAAAAAAATCTTAGCTCAGCATCATTTCTGATATACAGAACCACTCCTCACGAGTAAGTTCATTTACCTGAAAACACCTCTTTCGCACTCAGTCAAAACCTAGCTCAATGGGAAATGAAAAGCACTAAAGTGCAAACCCTCGGCGCATTACGGATGCCTCAAGGTGACTCGTAATACCCTCTGACTCGCAATAGGAACAAATCTTATACCGCTAATTGCTGGACACTCGGTCTCGTGCCCTAGGTATTATACATGTTGACATTATGAGTCATCTAAATGTTTTCTTGAGTGATTCTAGGAGGAATAGTGGAAGACATTTCGCAATGAAAATCATGAGTGTCTAGTTAGTTTTAAAAAATGATTATATTGCGGGTGCCTATTTATATGTCCCCCCTATAAACAAATTTTTTCCAACTCGTCAATGCGTGCATTATGGGTCATTGAATATATTATGAGTCACTCATTAAAAAAATATTACCAGGAACACAGTACACAGAGTAGAATTCAATGATAAGAAAATGGTATGTCAAGAATGCTTTGAAGATGAATAGCTAATGAGGTTCATTTTGGGCTGAGACACCTACTCGCAGGTCTCTTAGCGATAAGACACCTGCAGTTAGGTGTCTTAGTTCTAACTAAGACCCTCCCGCTTACAGTACGGGGCGTCCAGAAGCGACGATCTCGAGCTGAGACTGCTCAGACAAGGCCCTGACTCGAACAGTTGCGATGCTGTCATCGTCGACGAAGTCTTAGACAGTGCCCGGTGTGGAATCGGCAGGCCTCTCCCCTGCCGGGCTACCGTCGAAAAGTTGAGGCGCCGCCGCTAATAGTCAGTACTTACCAGCACCGACGCAATCGTGGATTGCGCCCGGTATCGGCTTGGGAGAACTCTCCTCCCCGGTGCTTTCTTCAAAGAGCTGCTACCAACCACGGTTGAAGGCGGACGAGCTACAGCCAACCGTACGGCTATCCATTTTCTTAACAAGTAAGACGGCAGATTCGAGTGTCTTCGTGGTTCTGCAGCCCGCGTGGTCGGTTCGAATGACGCAATAGAAACCTCGGCTCCACCTCGGTTACTATTAAATTGCGCATTCCAACCTCCCACGCGGGCTCGAAGACACTCGAATCTGCCGTCTTACCTATACAAAACATGTACAGAGGTGCCATGAAGTGCAGTTGACACTACTACTGAAGAATGACAAGAATGCATAAATTGAAAATTACTAGTAGGCGAATGCATGGCATTTTTGGCGAGCGGAAGCGCGCTTACAATTGGGGTCTAATCGTATGAGTCACTCTTGTGTGTGCACAAAACAGTGAGATACATTGCACAGGACCAAGTAGGCCGAAACGACCTGAGCGCAGTACACAATTCGAGTCGAGTCAAAAACAGTCAGACGACAGCGCGAATCAGGCATAATCCGGCAATCTGATTGGTCTTGCAGGAATAGGGAACAAGCGGCAATGTAGAAAAATCTCTCGCTGGACTGTGCAGCAATACTCGATAGCTTCGGAGGTGTTGCGTTTCCCCTGATTCCGCTCGATTCAGGCAGCATTATGAAAATGTTGAAATCCCTTTCGGATAAAAAGAAGCGCGTAATGCTGGAGCATGCGCAGTTGGACGACGTACGGTGACATTATAATATAATATAATTATAATTATAATTAGAAAAATCGCGCCGTTCGGACCACTAGGTTAGCTCGCTTCCGCTCGCCAATCAAGGACACGTTAATAACATATAAAAACGCATGACAAAAATTAGGGGGACTGGGTAAGAGTATAAAACTAACAACAAATTTCACAGCTAAATGCCTAATATTGTCGTGGTTAGCATTAGTACACTTCAAATCATACCATAAACCACATGAATCACACTGAATCCACACTGAATTATCTTCCCCATAAAGAAGGCCACACTTAACACTCGGCCTCACTCTCCCCTCAAGGTGACTCGTAATAATACCCTCTGACTCGCAATAGGAACATATCTTATACCGCTAATTGCTGGACACTCGGTCTCGTGCCCTAACCCTTTCAACTGGGCTGCCCCATGCTGGTGATTGGCTGAATGTTGTACCTTCAGCCGCACTGGGTCTCCATCTCCATGACCGGGAGTTCCGCTGCTGCTAGCATTATTGGCTGGGAATCCCGCTCCACAGTGCCTCTTATAGTGTCGTGGAATAGCTGATCCTTTTGGGGATCACCAAGTGGGCTGTGGAGGCAACGGTGATCGTATTGCTCGCCATAATGGGATCCGGGATGTGCTTTTCAGCGCAGCCCAGTCTGCTGCCCTAGCCCCCCACAAAGGAAGCTTCCAACCTAGTGCCCGGCTCTAGCTCCAGCAGATATTCTTCTCCCGAACTGGGGCCATGGAAGACAAGCTGCTCTGTATGTCATGTTATTTCCCCATTGCAGCAGCTAACTCTAGCCGAAGCCGCCTCTTCTCCTGGCCATGCCCTAAGGTTTGGGGTTCGACGGAAGCTGACATCCAACCTTCTTGCCTGCCGTTTAGCCGGAATTGATCCCCATTGTAGTCGAGACACTTGGGGGTTGGTGCCCTGATGCTATCTCCACCATTCGCTCGATAGGTCGTGCCCTAGGTCAACGACTGAACTCCACCAACACTGCGGACACGACAAAACATATTTTTGGTCGTCTTGCTATAGACGAGGCGAGGAAATGCAGGTCTGTGGTGGATGCACCGACATCCTACTCTCCCACCTTCAATTGATGGACTAGTCTGACTTTATATTTTTGGTTTTGTGTTTTACCGCAAAAAAAAAAAATTGATGGGCTGGGGCATGAGTACGCGTTTACTCCTAGTCTCCACGCTAGTTGGTCACGGAGAGTCTTAAGATAGCATGCCAATGCGGGAGTCGATGCACGGCCTTCGTCGGTGACTTCCGCAAGGTGTATATACAAAGAGCAAGCTGATCGGTCGAGGTAAGCTGATGCGATTGGCTTTTTCGCTTGTTTTCACAGGAACGCAGTCGTTTCAGGAAAATCGCCATCTTAGTTTTCAGGTTCACATGGTTCTGAATACGTTGGTATCGCTCACGGGCCGCAACCCTGTAGTGGAGAATTGCTGCTGACAGACAGACAGACAGACACACACACACAGACCAAGTACCGTAACCCGCTGTGTATGCGCGCCGACGGTTAACTATATACAGTCCATTTTCCCCATTGTTGGGACCACACATAATGCTAAAATGCTATATACAATCAGTTCAGAGTCTGGCGTAGTCATAGACCAAAGCATTGGTCCCACTAACTTCTGGGACATACGCTGGGTTGCCAGATGTGGAGATGTCAGTAGATATGTAGGCATCATTTGTTGCCGTAGGAATATCTCTCTCTCCTGAACCACTGGTGGTGCCATAGGCTTCATTTCTCTTCATGTTGTGATCGTGAATGTTGTAGGCAACATTGTCAGTTAGTTGAGGTCTTTTCCTTCTCCTTTGCCTCACACACAGCAGTATCAGTATTGATAGAACTGAGACTGTCAGGAGAACCAGACACAGAGGAGCCAACACTCCAATGACGATATGATTAACACCACTACTGTCTTCTGCAAATTAAAAAAAAGAGACATTCATGGCTTGAAAGATTTTACTGAAATACCTGTCACTGGTGGGTCATCAGTTGCGCCATTATCAGAGGGGGTTGACTGTGTGGGAGAACCAGTGATGATGAGTGGGGTGCACAGTAAAATATTTTTGTTAAGGTAACTAGAAAAAATTGTATTACATTTGCACATGAGGCAACCAGATGATTGTTATTTTAAGTGCAATATTAATGCAGTCATTACAACATGAATAATAATGGTTAAATCCGGAGAAACGTAATATTAAAACATTTGTTATAATTATAATAATTAATAATCTGCTGTTTTCACTCAAACATAAATCGTTAAAATAACAGCAACAACATACTTAAGGTAAACTTAATTTCTGAATTATTACACTGTCATTTAAACATTATTTCTGTGAATCTAGGGGCATTTAATTAATATTCAAAATACGAAATTAGTAACAACAACAAAAATACCGTAAAAACGACAAATATTTTTTACAGTGTGGTGGGAGTAGGTTGCTGGAGAAAGGGTTGATGGGGTGGTAGCTGAATTTAAAGTGGAGGTATTAGGGATGATTGATAGATGGAGTGAAGATGTCATTCTCAGGGGAACATAATAAAAGAGACACTTATACTTACCATTGGGGTTGATGTTGTGACACTGTTAGGAACTGTGTGGTGGTTTGAAATATAATGTTGTGTCGTTGGTAGCTAAGAGAGACTTACCCACTCCCAATGTGATTAGGGGAATGCCTTCTAAATCATCATTTCCAAACAGACTCTCACCTATTGGACCTCCATCGGCGGACAGGAAACTGAGTAGCAGTCCAGCTCTCCTATAAGCTGGCAAGACAATACCAATAGAATCACCAGCTTCAACTGGCTCAGGAGTCACACTGCACTCATACACATTGGGATAGGGAGTCTCAGTACAGTTGATATTATTGATGATGTTCTGTGTAAAACCCATTTTCTCAGGAGTAATTTTGAAAAGCTTGGGGTATTCTTCTCCTTCTCCAATACTTGCGACAAATGTCCAGTTCACGAGGATGCCATTTTGTATGATGTTCAGGTCTTCATATTCAACCTCATCATCATCTCTCTCAATGATGTAGGGGATGTAGAAAGCAGTCATTTCCAGTAGGTCTGACTCACTCAGTAGCTGACTAGAGCTGCAGTCTCCACCTACAGAACAGCAACACTCTCACTGGACTCTCCCCACACAGCAGCTGCTACTTACTGACGTCCAGGGAGATGAGTGGAGTGTCAGTCTGGCCATTGTGAAGGAAGCCAATCTGACTACCTGCATGTCTCTGACTGATAGTCAGTGAGACTTCTCCATCTACTGCAACTGCATGGAGGGTTCAGGTCACACTCATACACATTGACTCCTTCAGTGGCAGGTTCTGTAGAGACACTGCAAGTATGAGCGTTGTCCACCACAAAATTTATTGGAGGTAGTCCATCTCCATTCATTGAAGGGTAAGCTCCCACTAATATTCTTGAGATGTAGGCTGGTGGACAGTTCAGTGAGATCTCTCTCACAGGTCTGCTGTAGACTACAGCTAGAGTTCTGTTCTCCCACAGTCTCCTCAGTTGAGATGCTGACACCAGTCCCTCAATACACCCTGGAGGATCTGGAATAGCAGTGGAACTAGCACCAGTCTATGATAATAATGTCTCTCTATGCAAATGTGTATACCTGTTTCAATGGCCAGTAAGGGGTAGTCATAGTCAAGCTCACAGATCTCAGAATCAGGTTCAAACCTCCGGCAAATATTCCTCTCCTCAACTCCTACCTGGTAAAGTAGTATTGGACCACTACCTCCATGTCTGATCAATAACTTGTCTCCGTCATTGAACATTACGGGTGGCATTTGTGACATACACAGTTCATATCCAAATACACCAAAGCTAGGAGCGTCTTGATCAATTTGAATATCATGTGAACTACCGGGATTTCTCATAACTTTTAGTGTTAAACCACCAGTCCCATTCTGATGACGAGGCAGAGCTATAAAAGTGATTTTACTGATCCGATTACCAACATGTCCAGAGCAGGTTGACTTGATACCAGGTACAGACCTCAGTTCTCCATCATAAGTTGAATATCTCTCAAGTAGAGAGCCATTTCTCATCAGCTCCTCCAGACTGGGGAACCCACTGGTCAGGGAACTACCTAGACACAGCACAGTGATGTGAAACGAACAAAAGTAGCATTGATATATGTGGCAACGGAAAATGAATACCAACTCCTGCAATCCAGAGAGCGGCAGACACAGCAACGGCCACCACCAACAACGACAACATCTCAACTCCCGCATGCTATCTACTACTGTAGCTAGCCCGTGTCAGACTCTCCGCGAGCTACTAGCGGGATACTAGTATAATAGGCCCAGCCCCCATCAATTAGCGGTACCGTGCATGCGCAGTTCGCCGAGGGTTTGCACTTTAGTGCTTTTCATTTTGTATTTGAGATCCTCTTATATACTTCCTGTCACACTTTGCAACCCTATGCCACTAAGGTAGTATGTGTATAGGTAGGTGATCACATGTAGTAGCATATGGGATTACCAGAGAGAAAGTGGTTCTGAGAAAGAGAGAGTGAGTGAGAAGGGGACGGGAAAGGGGAGGCTAATGTTAGGAAGGAGACAGAGAGAGGTGAAGGTAGGGGAGGAGTGGGGAGAGAAAGAAGAAAGGGAGTAGAGAGAGGTTGAAAAGAAAGAAGGGTGAGAGGTTCGTAAATAGGGGAGAGAGAAAGAAGGAAGAAACGGAGGGGAGGAAAGAGGGAGGGAGAGAGAAGGAAAGGGTTATAAAAACAAAATGCTAGTGGGTGTCCAAAGTAGTAGCTGGAAAGTGGCACTAACTAATGTGCTGACACCGACTAAACTAAACACTATTCATATTCATTCCTTCCATACACATGCACAGACGTATGTATGTATGTAGCTAAACTATGAGTACATATTATGTAAGTTATACAGACAAACACGAGACTACATGTCGTGCTGCATCACCGCCCAATACATTAACACACAAACGACATAAATGGAGAGAGTTATGGAAAACATTAGACTGTGTGTGGGTCCACTTACCATAACACTGTAAGTTACGTGCTAAGAACAATGAAAATGCTGACCAGCAGATTTCGTGACTCAAAACTTAGTCTTACATGAAGAACTGACCGTAAGTATGGTATTAACGCATGACATAATGCATCAAACATTCACATGTTTCTAATATGGACACTTCATTCTGTCCCACTAGTGTCCAGATTAGAGGGGTTCTAAGGAAACCTGAAATGAATAACGACATTTTTCCCCTAAAGAACAGTTCTTGCATGCAATTTTACCAAGACACCTCTCTATTATGGACACTTTCGTCTGTCCATTGGTGTCTGGATTCCACTCAGGGTTCAGGCTACCATGTTCTATATACTGCCCCTAGTAATATACACCCCACATTTGTAGTACAGTATGCATAGTGCAGTACATGTGGACAGTGTTCCGGTGGACCATGAGTTCATGGAGGGAGGATTGGTATATCCACTTCCTTCTTCTAAGGCTTTTCAGAATACACATTACAGAGAGACATTATCATTGGAGGACATTAGAGGACATTGGAGGACATCATAATGGATGACAAGAGAGGACACAGAGGACAAAGAGGACACAGAGGACAAAGTGTCCTCTGTGTCCTACAGTGTCCTCTCTGTCCTATGAGGTAGAAAGGCAAAGGCAAAAGCAAAGTAACTACACCCAGGATAGCTCTCTTTTTCCCCCAAAAATCTGCCCTGGGGGGGATTGCAGAACAATGCAAGACAGCACATATACAAGGGCTAGAAAAAAGAAAAGGGAGGGAGGGAAGAAGGGAAGGAGGACAGGAGGGTTAGGAGACACATCATTGTCATGGCAACCACCGGTCACCACGGTAAACGTTGTGAACATGTTAATGACAGGTGTCAGGATTAGAATGGAGTAATAGGTAATCGACTACTCTTGATGCGCACCATTGTGTTGAGTTACGACCGGCAGTCTGCATGCGTGGTTAGCATTCTTCGCCAGGTGAAGAACATCAGACATAGCTGCCATAACTACCCAATTAGTAGCCAGTACAAGTCTCATTACATGACTTACGAGCAACAGCTAGCTAATTTGGCAGCCTACCTAGAAAGACCCAGCTTCATTACAGTGCCTCTCACACCAGCAGAAAACCAGCACAGTGACCCACTCCTACCCGAAATGATAATCTTTACAAGTGGTTCATAGCTAGTCTGTTGCAAGAAAACTCAGATTACGAACAATCACATGCAGTGATAGGCCACACCACAGCTGTAATAGGTGGTTGACATGTGTAACATATATACCAGTGGATTATTAGGACACCTCTTAAGAACCCTTTGGGCGCAATTAACATACAGAGCCTCCATAAGTGCATAAGAATTTATATGGCTATAATACTAGGCGCTAATATGTTATACATAAATTTCTGCTTATTTAAGGAGACACCTATGGCACCCAAAGGGTTAAACAAAAAACTACACAAATCAGAACACCACTACTGTGTTGCCTGGACCACAAGCACAGCGAAGTTGTCTCGCAGTGTGTGTGACTCACTGCGAGTAACAGTTGGAGGAGTAGGACCATTGCTAATCTCCAGAGTGGTACTTTGGGTGACATCACAAGAGCCCTGAGGGAGCAAGTCACAATCTCCCAGGAACTCTTCAAGAATGATGTTCTGCAGAATACACTCCACTCTGTGGCTCCTAACACCCAAAGCCATGGTGTTTTCTATTTGGAGCACACTGGCAGTTTCATTATTCATGTAGCATCGAATGTTTTCCGAGCTTGCGTTGGTTCCACCACAGGTGAACGTCTCACAGTCAACCTTCCAACTGATTGAAAAGGAGGTGTCTCCTTTCAGAGCGTTGCAGACTAAGGTAGCCGGTTCTCCATTAGCTACTGATACATCTCCAATCTCACCACTCAGGGTGGACAGTACTGTAGAGAGAAAGTGTTATAATGCAGGGATAGGACAAAACTATATACTGAATTCTCACCTCTCTTTTGAACAACAATTCTAGGTGGTGTGTAGTCCTCATCTTCCATGCTGCTGTGATCGATGGTAACTATACACCGGTACTCAGAAGGAGTTGACGACATCTCCGTCATTTCAGTCACTGTTATATTGAATGTATCATCACTGTAAGAAATAGCAGTTGGTTGTACTCTACGCCATATCACACGGTAGTTGTCTTTTAGAGCTCCAGGTTGAATGGCACAGGAGAGGTTGACTTTTCGAGTGTGATCGAGTGAGGGAAACAGAATGTAGTGAGGCATCATTGGTGTTTCGTAGGTGGCTGGTGGTGAGGCTGAAAGAATAGGGTGCAAGCAGTAAATTCTCAGTCACACACACACACACTTCATCACTAAGTACGGTAGTACTTACTATATAGGGATGGGCATGGTACCTAGCATCATAGATGTATGGGGCTATGATAGGGAGTTTGTTCATCATCATCACCATCTTCTTCCTGTTCAACCAGCATAACTCAAAAACCGAAAGAGATACTACATGTGTCAGTATAACTCACAATTGGTAAGATCTATGTGAACGAAAGTTTGTAAACATAATGTATTCAATAGCCAACATCAATATGACAACAATACATGTTTGTAAATAACAACAAATAGCCTCAGACGCTTTTCTTTAAATTTACTTCTTCACTTTCCAATGGTAACACGCACAGAGATGAAACTTGGTATGTATGCCTATTATATCATTTCCATGATGAGTATAATTATACATGTTTCCATGACGACCGCATTTTGTTTGAAAAGCCTCAGGCAATTTTCTTTAAAATTACTTCTTCACTCCTCAAACTTGCTAACTGTAGCATGCATGGAGGTGAAACTTGGTACGCATGTGTATTACATCGTTTCCATGACGACCACAACAAAAAAGCCTCAGGAACTTTTCTTTATAATTTTCACTCAAACTCGCTAACGGTACCACGCATGGAGATGAAACCTCGGTAACATCGTTTCCATGACAACCACTTTATTTAATAGCCTCGGGCAATTTTCTTAAAATTACTTCTTAACTTCTCAAACTCGCTAATGGTAGGTAAAACTTGGTACATATGCGTATTACATTATTCCCATGACAACTACATATTTCTATGACGACTACATAAAAATCTTCAGGCACTTCTCCTCAAACTTGCTAGCGGTAGCACACATGGAGATGAAACTTGGTATGCATGAATGTTACATCATTTCCATGACAACTTTGTTTCCATGATGACCACAGATTGTTTGAACATTAAATAGCTTCAGGCACTCTTCCCCCCTAAAATTTGCTAACGGTAGCACTCGATCATGGAGATGAAACTTGGTACGACAACCATTTGACAAATAGCCTCAGGAATTTACTTCTTCACTCCTCCAAACTTTCTAACAGCAGCACACACCGAGATGAAACTTGGTACGCATGCGTATTACATCATTTCCATGACGACAACAGGCATTTTTCTCTATTATTAATTTTATAGGGGGCTTGCCCCCTTTCACAGAGATATACATAGTCGTATATATATAAAAATGAGTGGAGACAAGTAAATTTAAAATCCTGCGAATTTAAAAAAAGAGGCATAATAGGGATGGTATAAAAAGAAAGGGAGACAAGATAGGGATGGGATACATGAATGAAAGGGAATGTGTAAAAGCAGAAATGTGACTAAAACAACAGTGAAAGAATGCTTGCTTTTAGTAACCTTTAGCCCTTATTATAATGCCACATTCCCTATAGGAGTAGCACACCAGGCAACAATATGGGGGTTGTGTGATGGGGTTGGGGGTGTCAGCATGCTCAAATCTGTTCATGCTTCATGTATTCCATCCCTATCTTGTCTCCCTTTCTTTTTATACCATCCCTATAATTATGCCTTTTTAAATTCGCAGGATTTTTAATTTTCTTGTAACAACTGCAATACTGCCAATACTGTATAACTACTCTACCTGCAAGTTTTTCCACATTAGAGACTTCGTTGAGAGCGGTCCTGCAGGTGAAACTTCCCTCTTGGTCTTGGTTGAAGACGAACGAGATGCTAACGTCCGTCTCCGCCATTACCGCCACCAGTTGAGATCCACCAGAGGTGATTTGTGACGTTCCTCGCCAGAACGTGGCTGGTTGTTGGTTGGGATTAAGAAGGCCGTCAATAGCGTTCATGATGCAGGTCAGAGTGACATAGCTGTAGTTGCCAGTCTGCGGGTATTCTACTTCCAGCCTGATTGCCTCCACGACTGAAGGAGTGAGGCCCAACACGACCAGCAGACACGCCAGTCCAACTACCGCCCAGCGAGTACTTCCCGCCATAAAACCTCCTCAGTGACAACACCAAATGTTCACACAATGCACTCGATCTTCTCCAACACGCCTGCAACCACAATGAAAAGCAAAACCCTTGTCGGCGTGGTAGATATATACCACGCATGTGGGTTGGGCTATGTGTATATGCGTTAACGCCATAGCTTAGTCTGGCGTATTATGTAATACGTAACTGCAGATCATCCATGATGTTATTGGCGAGCGGGAACGAGCTAGCTAACCGATTTTGTTTTTTAAAACCCGGCGCGCATGCGCAGCGAGGATTACGACACAAGGGGGGTTTACTTGGACACGCGGGAAAATGGAGGCGCTGATGTTCGCCAGATACAAGTCGCCAGTCGGTTGAAGATCCATATCTTCTGTCAAAAGGGGTCCTTATATCCCTCCCACTAGTGGTTTGTTTCTCGTAATTGTCGCCATGAACCGTCTTGCTAACCATGGTATAAATTTGGATGTGTGCGAATCAGAGTTAGAGAGACAACTCCTGATGCACTCTACTTGACTCTTTGACTACCATGGACCCCACCTTCTTCAGTCATGTGTTATGCTTCCTACATGTTTTTTAACTTGTCTGTATGCATGTCATGCCCGGGCGGGCCATTCAAACATGAACTTTGAACTTTGTACGGTGTAGTGAGTCCACGTTTTCTGCGACTACGCGCAACGAAACAACAAAACAGCGATACTAACGGGTTCATCGCTACACTGGTTTAATTTTCAAAAGGAGTTTTTCGCATAACTACTGCGTAAAAAGTTATGGCAAGTGAACATGCCAATATGCAAATTAGCACAGGACCGGGTCCGCTTGCTCTGTCCATCTTGAAGACACAAGACTTCACAACGAAGGGCGTGTATCGACTCCCGCATGCTATCTACTACTGTAGCTAGCCCGTGTCAGATTCTCCGCGAGTTAGTTCGCCTATATAATAGAGGTGCAGAGTGAAAAAGAAAAAAGATAGGAAAATCCAGTAAAAGATCATGAAACATGGAAGTATAATAGACAATGAAGCATTGACAAAGGAAAGAATGTCAGATCGTGAGGAAGATCTATATTTGTTCAAAAGATTGTGATTCTCAAACCGTGAAGTGAACAAGCAATAATTCTGGGGCCATCAACACAGGATCGAACGTATGGCCAATAATATAATTAAAAGCACTAAGTGCAAACCCTCGGCGAACTGCGCATGCGCGGTAGCACTAATTGATGGGCTGGGCTTTTCTTTTCTTTACTCGTTGTATCGCGCTAGTAGCTCGCGGAGAGTCTGGCACGGGCTAGCTACAGTAGTAGATTGCTTGCGGGAGTCGATACATGCCCTTCGTTGTGACTTATTGTGCCTTCAAGATACACAGAGCGCGCGGACGCAGTCGAGGTAAGCCTGTGCTAATTATCATATTGGCTTGTTCACTTGGTTTTCACGCCATAACTTTAGAACGCAGTAGTTTTACGAAAATCGCCTTTTGTAAAATCAACCCAGTGTAGCACTGAACCCGATCATATCGCTATTTACCTGATTTCGTGCGCACGGTGGCAGAAAACGTGGTAACAGACAGAATGAAAAGCACTGAAGTGCAAACCCTCGGCGCACTGTGACGCGCACGCGTAAGTAAACGCATGCGCCGTACCACTAATTGATGGGCTGGATTTAGTTTTAGCTGTTACTCGTGGTCTCTTGCCAGCTCGCGCAGAGTCTGACGCGTTCTAACTACACTACTAGACAGCATGCGAGAGGCGATACACGCCCTGCGTTGCATCTTCTGGTGCATCCGAAGTACGCAGAGCACGCGGATCGATCCGACTGTGGTAAGCCATCCCGTCCGTTGTGTATTTGCATATTGGCTTTTTCGCGCTCTAGCTTTGCAACGGAACATTTTCAGAGAAAACCGCCTAAATTTTCTGACCTTCGTCGCCCGTTGGGTAGATGGTATCGTTTCTGGGACGAACAGACGTTCGAGGAGTGAGATATAGACTAACAGACAGACAAACAGACAGACCCAATGAAAAGCACTAAAGTGCAAACCCTCGGCGAACTGGGGATGCGCGGTACCGCTAATTGATGGGCTGGGCTGCTATTAGTATGCGTTTACTCGTGATCTCCCGCTAGTAGCTCGCAGAGAGTCTGACACGGGCTAGCTACAGTAGTAGATAGTATGCGAGAGTCGATACACGCCCTTCGTTGTGACTTCTTGTGCCTTCAAGATGCACAGAGCAAGCGGACGACCCGGTCGAGGTTATAAGCGCATGCGCATTTTCCGCAGCGATAAAAATGGCCGACTACGCATTAGCCGTACAATGGTGGAAGCGCTCTAGCTCTGCAACGGAGCATTTTCAGAGAAAACCCCACATATTTTCTGACCTTCGTCGCCCGTTGGGTAGATGGTATCGTTTCTGGGACGAACAGACATTCGAGGGGTGAGATTGAGAGTAACAGACACACACACACACCCAACTACAGTACCCTCGCTGCGCATGCGCGCCGAGGGTTAACTACAGTAACCCTCGCTGCGCATGCGCGCCGAGGGCAATGACGTACAGACACACTTACGGGACAACTATACCGTAACCCTCGCTGCGCATGCGCGCCGAGGGTTAATTATGAGCGGGCTGGGCGCTTATCATCCTCGTCCATGCATGCACAAGATGTTTCTACTAGCCAGTGTCATCCTCTGCGTGTGTGTCCTGGTGGTGCCTGGGACCAGCGTCAGCTGTAAGATAGACTCCAGCAACCCCTGCAAGTGCTCCTTCACGGACGGCGAAGGAGCAACCTGGAACATCGACATCAGCAGCTACTTCCAGTACCCGTGAGTAAGCTGGACAATAATTAGCCTTATACGACCGCCGGGGCTCAGCTGGAGCTAGCGCGCTAGTGGCGATCGTTTGTACCGCCTCTCGTGCATGGTGTGTGCTGGTGTTACATAGCGTACAGCCTATAATTTATGCTGAGTATCTGTACAGCATCTGAAGATCTTGTGTTGCACGTTTTTGTGTGTGGTTAATTTTAGACATTATCGGACTGACCGACTGACTGACTGACTGACTGACTGACTGACTGCCTGACTAGCAGTAGATAAAGTGTGTAGCTATTCATGTGTGGAGTTTCAGTTTTGGTGAAATTGATTCTTGTGTTCATGGCGAGCCCCCTCCCCCTCTAATACCTGTACCTTCAACCTATGATCATATTTCGTGAGACTCGCTGCGTGTTTCATCCTGAAGGACCCGTGGTCGAGGCCGCTCTAAAGAAGATGGGGCTTGGAGGACGAAGCGAAGAAGACCAGCACCCTACCCCTAGTGGGACGAACACGAGTGCCTGGCCTCCCTACCCACTAGTGCCACTTGGTTGGCCTGGTTTTATCCCGGTTTTATCCCGCCTTTTCCGTATGAGCCAGCTTGGAATGTCCAGCAGTCCAGCACTTTCTCGAATTCCTAGCAGCCCTCTGGCGACTAAGCACCTGGCAGCAATGGGCTCGAATGTGTCCCTCTCTCTCAAACAGATCAGCCAGAAGCTGGCTGTTCTGATGGCCTTGGTGAAGGTGAGTAAAACGTCCGAACTCAGAGCTCTAGACATCCGGTTTAGGGTCTACAGGCCAAACGGGGTGGTGTTTAAGTTGGCCTCCCTCACTAAGAAGAGGATGCCAGGTCTTCCTTCCAAGGAGCTGTTTTTTTGGGTGCATTCCATAGTGACAAACGTTTGTGTGTTGTGGAATGCCTGAAGTCTTACGAGGAGAGAACACAAGGGTTCCGACAAGATGGGTCTGCAGAGAAGCCGTTTTTTCTGTCATAACGTTTGCCCACACAATCCAGTGACATCTCAGAGGCTGGCCCACTGGGGCAATTAAGGACAACTAAATAGCGATACCAACAAGTTCATTTCTACACTGGCTTGATTTTTAAATAGCAATTTTTGTAAAAGTACTGCGTTCTAAAGTTATTGCATGAAAACCAAGTGAACGAGCCAATATGCAAATTAGCACGGGGTTACTTTGAGATGCGCTTGCTCTGCGTACCTTGGAGGCACCAGAGGTTGCAATGCGGGGCATGTATCGATTCTCACATGTTTTCTAGTAGTGTAGCTAGCCTGTTACCAACTCTCAGCGACCTGGTAGGAGACCACAAGTAGGTAAAATGGCCCAGCCCATAAATTAGCAATACAACACATCCGTGTACTTCCCCGCACACGTTTCCATCGACAATCTGTTTGCACGTGCGCGAGATATTCAGTAAAATCTCCGTAACATCCCGTTCTCACATACGCTTCAAGCCTATTGTTGAGCTAAAACATGGCAGATGCACAGTGAAAGATGTGCCTCACTTGGTAGCATGCTTACCTCGTCTGCAGCCTTTCACAGAAGGCTGTGCAGGTCGGTCTTCCTCAACTTTGCTTTGACATGGAACCCTTCTCCAGCGAGTGCACACGTCTCCACCGAGGGTTTGCACTTTAGTGCTTTTCACTAGCATCAGTGACTGTAGGTTTCAGTGGTTAGAAAAATGTACCAGGGAGGGATGGTAATCCTGTGTACCACGTCAATCTGGGTTTAACTGCTCCCCTCTCTCCTCTCTCTCTCTCACCAGCACTTCCCCCAAGTCAGATGATGCAGCAAAGTACACATACACCTACACCTGCTATAACGCCCCGTGTCCCAGAACCCCTATTTCATCTGCAGTCGTAAGTCTGTCACACACACACACACACACACACACACACACTGCATTATACATAGCAGCCTGCATATGATACATGTGCTAATCAGTAGACAAGGCTTTCACACTTTCACTCCAATTGCATGACCTTTACCCTGTCCTTCCCCTCAGGCCTGCCAGTATATTAAAAGTCAGGCCACAGACTATCCACTTGGTAAGGTAGATCAGGATACTACGTGGGAGGTGACTGATCCATCTGATAGTTCATTAACTTTCGTCATCACTTACAAGAACGGACAGAAGTCAGGACAGAGGAATAGGTGAAATGCATGCTCCCATCCTACTACACACTCTCATGTACGTACTCCATATAATATGGACAGGAAATTGGATTCATGCTTTTACTGGCTTACCCGAGGTAGCTCTTTTTTCTTTGAATAAAGTGTCGTCCTGGGTGTGGTTGAATGCACTTACACCTTGTGGTAACACTCCTTTTTAAGTTGTATCGAATTGTAGCCCTTTCACTCCACTCTCAGTTTTTTTCCGTTGGTTGTATATAGCAATCACTGTGTTTCCAATTGTGAAATATCGAAGTTTAGAGCATGTGTGTGTGTGTGCTACATATATAGTACCTATATAATACAGAGAGACTAAGGTGACGTTCAAGTATGGAACAGGAAATATGGAGATGAAAGTAACAAAAGAAGATGCTACTGACACGGATGTTATTTACGTAAGCAAACCTGCATAATACGTAGCAAGTGTTATATTTTTTGATCATCACCTAATGTGTTGTTCGTTTTGCGCCGTGTTTTTAACACTTTTGAGCATGCCGCATGTGTCTATGCGTGCAATCTGTGTATATAGAGGTTGTGGGCACCTTGTTGGTACGTTTTGTTAGCTCAATATTAATTATTATATGTGCGCAGGCGAGGGTTAATTATTATGTGTCTGAAGTGAAACAATTGTCACTAATGTCTCTCTCTGTCTGTGTCAGGAGATGGAAGCCTCTGGAAATCAGGTAAAGAAGTTCGGTCCGAGTGGAAGGAAAGGGAGGAGTGGAGGAAAGAAAGACATTTCTTGACCATTGTCCTCGTCTTACTGTGAGTGACTCCACTCTGACGTTATATCCCAGACCCTCTTTCGTGCGGGAGCACATGAAGGTCTGAGTACGAGACTGATATATATTATACATGTATCTCTTTTCTACAGAGCCATTAATTGGTCTCCTGGTGTACTTCACAGTTGTTTAAAGACCAAGACACTATTATATATACGCATGCGTACTCTATAACGTATCCTATAAATAGAATTTTATAAGTAGCATAGAGAGCCCACGTGGGGCCAGTCTAGCACTAGCCAAGTCTAATGGCAGCTGAATCGTATCTATTGAATGTGCTGAGACTCGTAAGAAAGAGAACCAGACTCTTGCGGGTAGAAACCGGGGGCGACACAAGCGCTACTGGCGAGGTACTGATGTGGGGGTTTACATTTGGCGGCCAGTCTGGGATTAAGGTTCTGCTGGAGGGCCAACTGCATGAAAACGTGCACAACTTCAGTTTTGAACAGTACACCCATCTGGGCTAACAGTCTATTAGAAAACATATCTACTGTATGAGAATACCAGGTTTATAACCAACACGTTCACTAGGTATTTCTTCTAGTACTGTTCACTTTACACACAACACAAAAAGTTTAAGATGTGTTCAGAATGTAGTTTTAACCGGTCGCTCAACCACGTGTTGCGACGTAGGGTCGTCTCTCTTGATCTGCTCGGCGTAGCTCTTCTCAATTTGCTGGACCTCGGCATTCGAGATCTGGTCATAGCGCAGCAGCAGCTCTGCGATGGGTTTGATCCTCTTGTGGTCGAATATCTTCTCGTACCAGACTCCCCTCACAACCAGCACCCCCACCAAGATGATGAACAGACACACCATACACACCTACACACACAGACAGACATACAGAACACATCACTTTAATGCAAACTTCATTGCCGAGCGCGTTAGCGTGAGGCAACTACTCCGGGTTGTATTCTCGCGATATGCGTACGTGTCGGCTGTCAGGGGCGCGAGGCAAAATATGCGCGTGCGCATTCCTAGTTATTTTTTACTGGGGATTATCGCAGTCTGTTTGTTACGTGACATTGGAAGTACGGTGAGGGAAATTTCACTACAAGGTTATATCCAGCTGCGTCAATTTTCAGAGGTCTAATTGGACAAACTTCAAAGCTTGCCTGGACATTCTCCTGCTACATAGGAACGCAGAACACGGGAAGAAAGTGTCGAAGTGTCCACATAATTTCAAGCAGAATGTGGCAGTGAGGGCTAAATTTGATGAAAATGGAAACACAATTGTGTTCTTGCACAAGGCACTATTGTTTAGTTCTACCATTCGTAACATTAAGCCCCTTAATACACCAGCCACAGACACAAATGTGTCCAGAGCCTCCATAAGTCCATAAGATTTTATACAGGGGTTATAATGCTAGGCGCTAATACTTCATAAATCAATTTCTGCT